GGATGGAAGGAAGGAAGGAAGAAGGGGGCAAAAGATGGATAGGCAAGAGAAAGATTGAGTAAAGAATGAGGTGTGGAAGGAGAGTGGCTTGATAGACTGAGGAGAAGGAGGAGTAAAGGGGGTGGATTGAAGGATAGATGAGAGAAAAAGAGGAGAATGAGTAAAGGAAGGAAAGATGGCCATTAGCTGTGCAGCTCTACAGGCAGAGGGGAGGAAAATAAAGAAAGTGGAAGACAGAGACAGAGAGGGAAAGGTCAGTGAGAAAGCAATCTGTAAAAGGTAGAAGAGAGACAGAGGTGGGGGAAAACACAAGAATGAAACATGAAGAAATGAGACGAGGAAATGAGGAAAGAAGGAAAGGGGGAGAGAAGAGAGGCAAAGGAGGAAGTGAAACTGAGAATGAAAGATGAGAAGGAAGAGGAAAAAATGAGAAAGGGCAATACATTCTCACTCCGACCTCGTCACATATCGACCTTTGGTCATGGACTTTCCACGTCCACATACGACATTCAAGGTACCCTGGGTGTGTTGGTTGTTGACGTTCTAGGACACCGTGTCAAGTTCTGCCTGTTACATGTCTTCTTTCAAAATAAAGGCACTACGTTGGTAGAGCACCATTAAACTATAACAGCAACTGGCCGCATATCATGCCAACATGAAAGGACAGCTTTGTTCTGCGGTGGTGCCACAAGTCACTGCCCAAGTGCCAGATTTTGACGACTTTGGAGTGAAACCGGGTTGTGGTTTCAGTTAAAAATAACTGGGATTGTAGTGATGTAAACTTTGTACTTCGTACTTTGCGTAGTTACATACATAGTCTATAAAATCATGTAACTATACTGACTTCTAGTTTCAGGACACAAACAGCTGTCTCCTGGTTTAAAGTCCATGTTTTTTTGTCCCATCTTCCATCCCTTTCTCGCTCTCTATACTTAATATATTTCCATGAGACCTGACTGATACTGCCGTTAAACTACAACAGCAACCGGCCGCTTATCATGTCGACGTTAAAGGATGCCTTCTTTTGTTGGTGTCTGACGCCCCAAGTCACCTCAAGCACCAGATTCCGACGATTTCAGAGTGAGACCAGGTTTGAAAGGGAGAGTGCAAAAAATAAACAAGAGACTGAAGGAGGGATGAAGATAGAGGAAGAGCAAAACAGAGTGACAATGAAACATCACAAAGAAGAAAGATGACAGAAATTAAAGGAAAAACAGAGATGTGGAAAATGTAAGAGAAAAATGGGGAAGAAGGAAGGAGCAAAAGGAACAAAGAGGTGAGAGAAAGGGAAAGAAGAAGGATAAACAAAGGTAGTGTTTTAGAACGAGTGGGAGGCAGGGAAGAAAAAAAGGGGGAGGAGAGACAGAAAAGCATGGGGGTTCACAAGGAGACAGAAACCGACTGAGAGCAAAATGAAAGAGGGAGACGCGAGAGTAGGTGGGAGACAAGGGAAAACTGGAGAAGAGAGGGAGGATGCGAAGATGAAAGCGCGCGAGAGAGGGAGGAGAGACAGCGGGGTGAAGCTGTCGGGGAGAGAGCGAGCAAAGTGCCAAACAGATAAATAACCAGCTTACTGGGATTACCAAGTGACTGACACACAATTTGCCAGAGCCAATATGACGTGGCAGTGATAGCTCTTAACCCATATAAACCTGAAACCAGTCCAAGATGTCCTCCGGTATTTACTGTTGTCACTGTGTCCTGATGCTCAACACTCGTGCGTGTGTGTGTGTGTGTGTGTGTCCCAACATAAACACCACAAAGACAAAGCAATCACACACACACACACACACACACACACACACATGCAGAAATCAGGGAGACTGCAGGCTTCAGAAAGAGCCTGAAAGAGCTGTTTAATGCCAGAGTTTAAAGCCTAAATTAACAACACACTACATGGCCAAAAGTATGTGGACACCTGAACATTAAAGGAATACTTCACCCACATAATGACCGCTTGTAAATCAGTTAGACCTACCGTATTACCTTAAATTTGTGAATAAAACTTTGTTTATCTTGCATGCCTCCACTGAAACAGGGAACATATTGATGTATTGATTGGTTGGGGACCATGTTTAACAACAGCAAAACTATATCAAACATCCGAGCAGCATAATGCACGTCTAGTTTATCCTGTCGTGTGCTCAGTACTTCCCAAACACATGTATTTTTACTGATAAACCTTAGTAATGGAGTCTGTTTTTAAAGGGATCATAGAGTGGTAGGATTAATTCGTTTTGGGATGGTTTATATTTTTGTATTGTTAAATGTTTTTGGTTAGTGTTTTGGGATACTATTATTACTTTGTGACTGCAGTTATTAGGAGAGTCGGGTCACATTCATATTGGTAGTGACACTCATTATCTATATGAGCATCTCATCTTCGCCTGTGAGTTTTTGTTCGGTTGGAGAAAGAGGGTGAGTGGGTCGCCATATTTTTTAGTTGACGGCACTTTTATTTGCTCACTGTGATCGTCTTAATTATAAATTTGTGTATGTTATAATAAGAAGATTCCTTTTCATTAATAAATTTATTTGACATATTTTTAGATCTCTTTTGTTGGCATGTCAGACAAGTTAACCAGGCCAAGCCTCAGCCTCTCAGTGACTTTTAGTTTGTTTCCTGCAGTCGCTACAGTAAGGTTTCAGCAAAAATGCATGTGTTTAGGAAGTACCAAGCATATGACAGGATAGATGAAACTTGAATTATATTGCACACTTGTGTGAGACGTAATCAGGTGTTTTAATATAGTTTTGCTGTTGTTAAACACAGTCAACAATCCATTAATTAATCAATATATTTGTTGTATTCCGTTGAGGTATGTGAGAAATACAAAGTTTTCTCCACGAATTCAAGGTAACACGGCATTACTAACTGATGTACAAATGGTCATTTTGTGGGGGAAGGATTCCTTTAAGTAGAAATAATATATTATTAGTAGCTGAGGATAGTTAATTAAAGGTGTGCCATTTCAAAGATCGGAAATTAATAAAGTGCACACTTGCAATATGTGAGTTAAGTATACTATCTTGATGTTCTTGACCTTCAAGTCAAACAGAAAAACTGACACTGGATGCTTACGGTAATGAAACTGATGATTTTAAGTAATTCTTTTTACTTTGTACTATCCTAAATCTACCTGAGGTCCTAGAGACACCCTGACACCAGCATGCACGGCTCCCAACTCTCCTGTAACACTTGGACAAATCAAAGCAACTCATTCACTGAGCTGACACACAGCAACACACATACACATGCAGAACATGCACATGTATACACACACTACTGCACATTTCACCCTCTAATGAACTTCAACAACAAACAACAACCTACAATAGGGGAGGGGGGATATGAGAAAGTAGAGAGAGGGAGATGATGAGACACAGGGAGAGACAGAGAGAGTGAGAGGGGGCGGGCCGACATAAGGAGCGGGCCTATAATTGGAAAGATGTGAAAAATGAAGTGTCAGTTTGGTCAATAGAGGCCAAGGGTCATGGAGGCAGGAGCCCAAACTCGGCACAGAGCACGCTCATTAGAGCGACCAATCAGATCTTGCCTGGCTGCCCCAGACCATTAGTCATCAGAGGTAGAGGCATACACACACACTCACAATTTTGCTTTGTCTTCTCCTATTTCACTGTAATTTCACTCATTTCTATCACTCTGTTCTCCTCTTCTACATCATCTAACTATTTCTTCTTTTTATCTCCACTCATGTCTCACCTCCCTGTCCCTCAGCTCCTCTGTCCAGCATTAATGACGAGTGACACAGAGAGACAAACTGTATGCAAGACAGAGAGAGAGAATGTGTGTGAAAGACACAGAAAGAGAGAGGATGAGACAGACAGAGAGACAAAGAGAGACACAGAGTGTGTGTTGACTATATAAATGGCTGCTCATTGGAGTGGAAGGCATGGCGGCGCTCTCTGCTCCCACCCAGGCTCTGCCTCCTGGCACTGGCAACCCTGCAAACTGCTCGCCTTGACATCGCTTTCAATAATATATGAAGTTGCTTTTTTGCCTACAGTTTGTTTGCAACGCTGCCCCTCCACCTCCAACCCATCCTCCCACCACTGCCTCTTGCTCACACACACACACACACACACACACACACGACCACACACATATTCTTAGAATGCATACACATCCAGCTTCAGCAGAGCTGTCTGGTCCCAAGACAGAGTGGAGATGAATGTGTTAAACCCTTTAAATTTAAGTCTAAACATATTATCAATAAAAAAAATCAAGTGAATCTAAATTAAATTCTGTGCATATTTAATTAACAATTCCTACCCAGAGCATTGTAATCTACAATCACATGTATGGACTGTCAAAGATGCAAGCGACCTGTAGTAACGGCTGCAAGCTTCAAAGTCACTGCTTCTTCAAAATAGATATAACTGATCATTAATGTCAAAAAAGAACGTCTCTCTTTTTGGCTTCAATTTCCTCAAAATCACCCTCATCATCTCATGACAAGGGGTTCATCATATGACAACAGATAAGAGAAGGAGAGCAGAAAGAGTTTGACTAAGAAGTCAAACAGTACATACAGTATGAACTCTGGGGTGTTATAAAAGCAGGAGCACACAAACACAACCCAGTGTGATCAGATGTAAAGCAGACTGAACATTAAAGGACTGCAGCATGAGTAAAACAATTGCTGGGGTGACACCAGGAACACAGAAACAGCTCTCTAGATGGGTACAAGACATCTACCAGCAAGACAGCAAATGCCCACCACATCTAGAAGTGATCTCGTACGGCTGACCATGACCTCTGACCTCTCTGTGAGTTACTAGCAGCAGCTGTGAGCAATTGAAAAATGTAATCCCTCGTCAAACTTCATCTGAACTCATACTGAAGTTGTTTTTCATGTACTTAATATAATGTAGCAGATGTAATACACTCAGCATCTTGGTCTACTGTGTGCCCCTGTCCTCCCCTTCTCCTCCACCTGATTGATAAGAAAAAGATGCAGACAACAAAAGTCTCTTACCCTGTTCACTGCTGTTGTCGCCGCTGTGTGATGTGTGCCCGCCGCTGGATGGCCCCGGCGTTCCTCCGGAGCGTGTGGACGCCGTGTCATCATGATCTCTGTTCCAGGACGTCTGTCATACAGAGGGAAAGAGAGGACAGAGAGACCAGCAAGTTAATCTACTTCTTTTGTTTTTCTGCCGTAATTTCTTGCGTTGATTTCAAAAGTAATTGTGGTTTTTATTTCTAAAGCATGCATATTTTATTTAATCTTCTTTTGAAAACTTCTGTCTTCATGTAATGCACATTATGTGGCAGCAAGTCCACACACACACACACACACACACACACACACACACACACACACACACACACACACACACTCAGACAAAAACACAACCTCACACTCCAAACAAAATTTGCCAACTCTCCGCCCAGTCACGCAGTGTGTGTGAGCCCCCGCAACAATCTTATGGAATGAGGATTATGGGGGCTCGATGAAGAGAACGGGCCCAGACGAATAGCGAGCGAACATGTTGTATTAGTTCCCAGCTTTCTGAGGCATGCAATCCACGGCTGCCTCCATTTGGCTCAAACCACTAGCAGATGAAAATACAAAACAGCTACAACTTAAGATAGGCCGCAGCGAGTGCCAGGGAGTGATGTCATCCGAGCAGAGCAGACCAGGGAGAGAGGGGGAGAGAGAGGTAAATAACTCAAAGTATTGCTACATAAGTATAAATCCTCTGTTTTGTCCAAAAATTAAACAAAAAAATGGATGACCAATCCCACTAATGTAGATTTAAATTTCATTTCACAAAGCAGAGCCAAGACAGAGACATAACCAAATAAGCTGAAGTTTTCCCACAACCTTTCCTCAAACAAAAAATGAAACAGAATTACTGCACGGCCGACCGAACTGAAGCTGGCTTAAAACTTTATATAGACAAATGAAATGTGGAGGTATTACCACAGGGTGGAAGTTCATTCCTTTCTCTACGACTTCAGGAAAAATAACAGATGAACGCAAGCAGCTGACTAGACAAAAGAGACTCGGGAGACCTGGGTTTATATATAGTAAAGTGTGTGTGTGTGTGTGTGTGTGTGTGTGTGTGTGTATGTGTGTGTAAGGGCAAAGGACAGTCACAGGCCAGATGAGTGTCAGCTGCACACTGCACTGTTGGGAGCAAATGGTCCAGACAGAGGGATAGAGGAATGACACACACACCAAATAGTGCTCAGACACACACAGGTAGGTAGACGTCACATACAAACACACACACACAGTCAGATACTTACATATTAAGTTCCCTCACGCACTCACATTTACAGAGACATGGATACACACACATCCTGACATCACACTCCCCGTACTGCTGCTACACATTATTGAAACTTAACCAGATGTTACCTCTTATCTCCCAGTGCCTCTGTAAAGCAACATTAGCACTGAGGACAGGAGAGAAAAGAGACTTCAAAATAGAAGGAAATGGAATCTAATGTCTTATCACACGCTGCTAGCTTTCACAGGCAAACATGCAACAAACAAAACACGCACACGCAAACACTTACTCCAGCCTACACTGTCACCCGCATGAGCCTATCTTTGCTCTGTCAAATCAAATGAAGCAGATATCAAGGGGCAATGTGGTGTTCACATGACGCTTTTAGGGCTACGTGACGAAATGAGTGATAGAAACCCAGATGGAGGAAGAGAGGAGGGAGAAGAGAGAAATACACTGGGGAACAACTGGTTTCAATTGGGATACTACAAGCAGCGCTGCCTGTGCGAGGAGGATTTGGAGCCGAGTTTAGAATTGTGAAAAAAGGAGCAGACATTAATTCATGACACAGGGTTTGTTTTAAACAAAATGTAGAAGGAATAAAATAACAGAAGAGAATATACAAGTCAGCAAATTCAACACATTTGGGGTCTATTAGAGCCCGTTTGATGTTCCTGGGCTATGAAATTATAATCCAGTGCTTACATGGACGATATAATCGTTGTTTTCCAAATTAGGCTTTGAGGATTTGCAATAAAGAGGGAAGTCGCTGCACAAAGGCATGACTGGGCTGGTGATTGTGTAGATAAACGTTGATTTTAACAGGGATAAGACACCAAGACACTCTTTTTTTTCCTTACAAATTCTTTTTTGCTGACCGTAGAACGCTGAAAAATGAAACACCCGTGCATGACCGAGTAACTCCGCAGAACATCAGAAGTGAGGTAATCCAGACCACATGCTCAGAGCGCAAACAGTTAACTCCGGCTTCTGCCAGCTCCTCCAAAAAGTGCAGCTTTTAAAAATGAGCAGAACTTGTTTATTCAGAGCTCTGTGAAAAAGAATAGTACAGTACCCCGGGGATGTCGAACGGCAAGTATTAAAAAAACCCAAGAGCCTCAACTCGCAAAGAGGATATGTTTTTTTTTCTTTTTGTTTTAATTCTGTAACAAATTCCACTTGAAAATATAATTAGAAAGTGGAGGGGGAAATGGCAAACTACTGCATTAGCTGTAATTGAACAAAAGAGCGCTTTGCCTGCTGGGAGGTGGCCGCTGAGGCCCCATGGGAGAGGGGGCGGGGCTGAGACAGGGCCTGGTGGCATCTCCGCGGGGACGGGGAGTTTATTTATAATCACAGGCCGCCCTTGGACGGAACAGGCCCGGCACTGATCTAACACTCAATTAATACACACACGGCTGAGATCACACAACACACACATGCCACTACACACAGGTCGCACAGCATGTGTGCACACTAAAACACAAGCTAGTACACACACACACACACACACACATACACACACACCTTCACACACAAGTACCTTTATCTACCTTATGCAAACACATCGCAGCACCGCCATACTCACAGTCCCTATTTAACAAAGCACACACCTTGACCACAAGACACACAGCGACAAAAACACACACCCTGTGCCAACACGACTGCACACACAATGTAGAGGTCCACCTTGGAAATATGGGATATGTAAATCCACAAGATGAATAGATGCATAAACAGAAAGCTGGAGGAAACAGAGAGAAGGAGAGAGCTGTCCCTCTGCACACATAGCTACACACCTGATTTATTCTATGTCCCCTTAATGAGCCACTGTGGTCTCTCTCACCCTCTCCCCCTTTCTTCCTCTCCCGCTTGCTCTCTCCTGTGCGGGATGTAGATTAATTCAATGCTTAATTGTTTAGTAAATTCAATTTTCCACATTCTATTCTGCCTAGCTTTAGCTAAAGTTCTTAAATCTACCGCGCCAAGCCGAGGGAACCCTGTTTGTGAGCCGTGCATACCTTTTTTTTCTTTCTTTTTCATTACCATTTTTCTTCCTTCCACCACCCTAATTCGCCATGAAAAGATTTTCCTTGCTGGAAATTCTGATTCCGCTATGATCGGTGAGGCATTCCAATCCAATGCATTCTCATTGTGCCGCGTCTAAGATGCGAGGGGGGCTTCCCTTTCTCGCTGTGCCAGGCCCCATATCATACAAGCGCTCATGCAAGAAATGTTGCCTTGCCAATTCATTTACAATAATAAAGAAAATGGTTAAGGTTGTTGTGCTCCCCCCCCCCCCTTCCCTCCTCCCTGACTCTGAAATATCTTTTGTGATGATATGGATATTTACTTTTCACTCCGTGCCAGCGAGCGTGCGGGAATAATCATATGTGCATACTTAACGGCACAGACATAAATATCCAAATAACCCCACACACATACATTCTTCAGTGGTGGTACATCTGAATCAAAGATGACAGTCGGGCTACTCCATCCCCCAGAATGCCTTGGTGCATATGTTCTCCGCTGTTGTTTTCTTTAACACCATTTTTGACCTTTGCAGCAGCACTGCTTCCTCAAGTTGAAATCTGCAAGAATGCCATGTGTTGCAGCAGTGAGATGGCCTGCAATAACTCGGGACACATTCTCCCACTCAGCTGAATGCTGGTGGGGAAGCTGTTAGTGAAAGGGGCTGAAAGGCCAGCTATTGTAAACTCTTGTTTACTTTGCTTTCCACTGTGACTAGATAAAGCAGGATCTGCCTCTCTGATAACCGGCCAGGCAAGTGCTTGCCCAACTACCTCCGCTTTCTCTGCTCTCCACCCCTCTCCCCTCGCTGCAATATTAGTGCTTCCAAAATGAAAAGAGGGGGCTGATAATGGTATGCGTGGTGCAAAAAAAAAAAAAAAAAAAAAAAAAAGAGAGTGAGAGAGCATAAGACCCTCCTCCCTCCCTTTCTGTTCTGCACTCCCCTTCCTCCCTAACTCTTCACAATAGACAAAGAAAGAAGAAATAACCTTATAATTGCTGAAGGGGGTGAGGGAGAAAACTGGATTTGGTCTCTTGAGTAAGTAAAGTATGCTACTCTGAATAGCCGTCAGGTACTCTTCAATCGGCTTTTTAAAACTGGTGGGTTAACCTCATAGAGACAACCAAAGATAATTACATGTTTGAGATAATTACCAGAGCTTTCAAAGTCCATTTAGATGACACTCGCAGAAACTGACAAACTGATTTTCTTCCTCTGTGGCCTCTTCCACTTCAGCTCTTGCTAAAGACTCCTTGTTTACTCTCTGTGAGCTGAAATCCAAACAAAAACATTAACTCGAGCGCTCTCCCCTCCGCGCTATCTAACCCCAAACAAAGCATATTTCTTTTTTTTTTTCCAGTTGTGAATGAAAAGGCAGTCGTAATTTCTTAATGACATGTTTTTCCTGTGGTTTCTTCGTTAGCCTAGCCTAGCTCGGCTCGCAGCCCTGCTGCGCTGGGATGTTCTTGGTGGATCCCTTGGAGACGGGCTGTTTGTGACGGTGGCCATTGTCAGAGGCATGCAGGGGGTTAAGGGGGAGAGGAACTTTCCATTAGCTAAGTACACATGTGTTAAGCCAGGTTATTGTTTACTTAGCCAAAGAAACCACAGCAGGCCTCAGGGACAGACATGGACGCCCATCACAAGTAACACGAGACACAAGCCAAGAACTTTATTTGCAATTGGGATTTTGTGGCTATCACAAGAGAATGACTATGATACAGCGCGGCTCCACTAAGCACTAGTTTCCAGCAATACTGCATGATTTAAAAACAACTAATAAATCAACTGAAAAAATCCAGCACCTAGCACAAAAAAAGTTGATGTCTAAAAATGTATAAAAGTATATAAGAAGCTCCCGACGTCCCCGTTCTTTGAAGTCACTCTGGCCTTGATTTGCTTAATCAGAATCACCCCTACTTGCTATTCCACCACAATAATGAAGAGGCTAAGAAACACACAAGTCACGTGGTCGCCTCTTTGTATCACTTGTTGAATCCTTAACAGCCTCCCTGCATTCACTCCCCAATGGAAAAAAAGGGGGAGTTCAGGGGAGGGGAGGGAGGGGAGGGTGTAGAGGAGGGAGGGGGCGAGAGGGGGTCAAACCTCTCCTCCATTCAACTACAAAAGCTGCTATTACCAACAATCACCACGATGATTCAAAAGTTTGTATTAAGATCAGCAGCGTGCCACTGTAGGAGAGAGGGGGAATAAAAAAGAGGCAGAGTGTGTGTGTGTGCCTATTTAGTCGGGTGTAACTTGATCCATACTTCAACGAGAAGCGGATAGATTAGCGATAGCGGTGTACTGATTAGGAAAATAGTGGCTGACCCCAGCGGTCAGGGTTTCCATTGAGTTAGGAGGGGAGGGGGCCAGGGGTCACTCTTTGACCGCCAGAGTTACCTAAACCAACACTGCTGGGTCTCACTGACCTGGAAACCAGCACTTGTATGGCATAACAGTGCCAATTGTTGGGAAAAGATACCGCGATAGCACTATCACGAATAAATTCTTACACAGTGACCACAACATTAAACTCACACAGGCTGGGTTTGTTTAGGAAAGATTGTGCGGGACGTAAGAAAAACATATCCCAAATGTACAGATGTTATTTCAGACTGTTGGCTATTCCACATTCTTTTTACATGAATTCAACAACAACAAAAAAAACACACTCTGAAAAAGTCACAAAGCCTCTCTAATTTAAAGATACCTCTCCACTAAATTAACTCAACAGATCAACTGCTGAGCATTCACAATCATTTAAGACTCTCTCACATCCACAAAAAGGCAGGCAGAGAATATTTTTAAGGGAAATTTCAATTATTTCCAGCCCCACTTCAGCCTGCATGGCTCAATCAAGTAGAGGAGCTCTTGAGAATTGGAGTGAGTCCTCAGCACTATTAGTAGTGTTCTGCTCTACAGTGGAGAGCCCGGGCCCTCGGAGTTCATTAGCAAATTGCTGCGCCCCTCCCCATGCTTTCTGCGCAATTAAAGGCAACTGTGCAAATGACGTACGGCGGCGTGGAAATACCTCCCCGCTTCTTTAGTCTGAGGTGAACATGTGTGCCAGGCAAATAGGGACGCAATCAGCAGAGCGACTGCTGCCACATTTCCACAACAACAACTGAGACAGCCGTGTTCAGTGTGGACACGGGTCTTTCCACATTAAAGGCCTCTGCAAAAGTCACTCAGAATAATGGAATTTTATTGTGGCTTTAATGTTTATATACAGCTGAGCTAAAAGTGGGACGTATGTGTCTAATGGGGCAACTGGAAATGTGCTGCTCAAGTGGAGAAATGAGGCAAACGTGATGGGAGGCTCTCCAGGGAGTGGCAGGGAAAGGGTTAAGAAAGTCCAACTGGTGCTAACCAGTCACTCCACTCACATAGCACCTGAGGGGGGTGCTGCATTTATCAGGCCAGTCTGAACACACACATGCATACAACAGCATACACACTAACACACACATATATGTAAACACTTGTAGACAGATGCATGCACGCAGCTCATGCACATTTCCACACACACACACACCTACACAAAGAGACACACACAAACACAGGAGGGTGAGCCCAAACTGGCTGGGCTGCATTCACAAGCCAGCACAGAGCCTCTCTGACTTTTTCACCTCTCAGCTATGCTCTGCTTTCTTTTGAAAGGGGCGCTCAGCGTCCCTCCATACTCGCCTGCATAGGCAGGCTAACAAAGCAACGTAAAGACATGTAAAGAATATTCAGAAAATTACTGTCATGACGCAAGGGTGCATAATGCAGCAAGAAAGTCAGCATCGTTGGATTGTTGAGTTTAATAAATTCAAAGTATTTTTTTTTTCCTCTGACATTTTTTTTCTCCTCTGCTACAGTCGCCTCACTGGAATAAATTGGTTTATGAATAAATGAGCCTGCTTTCTCCGTCTTGTTAACATTGTTCTTTTGTGCAAATTCTCAGCATTTTTTTCCAGTCCACTTCAACTTTATGCCCGAGGGCATATATTAAAAATACATATGGAAAGAGATAATGCACACACAACGCAAATTCGTTAAGGATGTCACTGCCTTACAACTGCAGATAAGATGTCACACAAAAATAGCACACACAAAAAAAAAAAAACTCAAAAAATATATATTCAGCCGCAAGTAAGTTATGAAGTGCAGTGCCATTAGACTGACAATATAAGTATTCAGCAGTGAGAGGCATGCACCCTCTGCCTGTTTGGATATGCCCATTTACACACAGCCTGCTGCTGTGGACAGTCTCCATGTTATCCTACTGGAACATCAGCCCATCCCTCAATATTACACATCTGTCAAAAAGTTTTCTCTGTGTTTTACTGCAAACTGTGCCTGTAGGTCATTTATATGATTCTGTCACATCAGCGTAAACATAAGCTTATGTGGTTATGCCCTGAATTGGCTATATATGTAGGGACCATCATTATATTAAAATAGGCCATGTCTTCATCTTACAGTCAATTAAAGATCCGCATCAGTGCCTCAAGCACAACATAATTTTCTTCATATACCTAGAAACCCAAGGGTTTTAACAGACTCTATTTCCATATCTATATACCATAAGGTTTCATTCCATGTCCTGACCTATCTTTAAAAAAAAAAAGAAAAAACTTTGACAACTGAATCCCCAGTGAATACAACAAGCCATTCAAAGAGACACTTAAATGCACAAGTGGCGTCTGTGTTATTTAATTCTGTTCCTGGATTAAATGAAGTATAATCTTCCGGGTGATCTTTCTCATTTCCATAATCAGACATAAGGGCCGGGAATGGAGGAGTGCATGCGCGCAGGGTGGGGTGGAGGAGGGGTGGGGGGGTGGGGGGCTTCCCAGTCGGGCCCCAGTTCGCTCCCAGTCCTGCCATTCAGCCCTGAACATAAAAGCCGGTGGCTGCCTCTCTCTCTACTCAGACCAGCCACTCAACCATATGGAAGTCCGCGGATTTAAATTATTTAGCCTAATCGCTTCATTACTTTTTATGTCGGACTATCCAACTAATCCCTTTAATTTGGCCACTTGATTTTTTTCCCCTCATCGGTATCCATAGGCTATAGCCGCCGCTCTCCTGAGCCATCCCTTAAAACTCTGCGATAGTTAAACTTATTGAAACATTGGGGCTCGCAGTCTGCAGCCATGTCTCGTGCACAAATGACTCCAGCTATTAATGGCCGAAAATCCAGATTTGCATAATTCTAATCATCGGTTGCTGTTATCATTATTTAACGGCAGTGTATGGACCATTAGGGTCATGCCTGTGCGCACACTACAATGTCCCCCGAGTCCCGACAGTCAGTGGAGCACATAATGAAGGCTGTGGTTATCTCTGATATCGGCACAAAAGGAAACACTCCCTAATCTACCTTTAATACCCGCTGCTTCTGTGGCTTCTCGAAAATAAAAACCGTCTTATTGCTGCTGAATCTGTGCGCTCTGGGCGAAATAAAGGAAGAAGAGGAGAGGGGTCTCGATAAGCAATGTGCACTCATGTCTAAGGAAAAATACTGACAAGACGCGTAATGAACCGTGAACTCCACAGTGGAGAAACCAAGGCACCTCAGCCACAGTCTGCAGCCCATCCTGCTGCTGCTGCTGCTGCTGCTCTCCTGGGCTCCACAACACACAGGAGCTGAGAACGCTTCACTTTGGTTCAAGAAGACACCGAGAGGAGAGGAGGGAGAAATGGAGAGAGGCGCTAAATTAAAATCGACATGAAACAGGTCAAGTTTATGGCGATGCTTTTTCGAGCTAATCTTCCCAGGTCGGTTCCGGGTTCAAGTCTTAATGGGCCAATAATAGCAACATTATTCAGAAAATTTTTCATTCCGATGGATGGAATGTAAAACGGCCTTAATCATATGCAAATAACAGCGCAGCGGAGTAGTGACCCAGAATAGCTGAATAGCCAGCAGGGAGAACACACACACACACACACACACACACACACACACACAGAGGGAAACAGAGAGAGAGATGTACCTGATCAAGGGCCACCGATGATCTCGTGATTTCCTCGCTGTCTGATTTGGACCCGCCCTCTCTGTCGTCTATGACCAAGTCGATGGGCATCTTGCCTTTCAAGCAGCTGATGTACCGGTGACAGAAATTATCACACAGCTCGTGTACCTTCAGAGAGAGAGAGGAGGGAGGCAGAGGCGTCACACACTCACCCCCCAAAAGGGACATCATCACACAACAGTGACATGTGCAACCACAACACACACACACACACACACACACACACACACACACGACAGCCTTTGACATGCAAAAGAGCCCCGAAGAGTTTTTAGGCAATTTGGCAGAGCCGAAGATCACAGCACAGTTGTTGCATCTGAAATATTTAAATATTTTAAAAGAGTTAACATGAAGCGTGACAGATCACTGGCAGCATATTATTGCTTTGGCACTGTGAGAAATTATTAGGCTAAATATAGTCACCTATTATTTATTTATTTATTTATGTTACCCCCCCCCCCCCAAAAAAAAAAGTTTTTAATCTTTGCTCTGCAATTGTAAAAACTGAAATCTTTCTTCAGGCTACAAGGTGTGTCCAGTAGCCGTGCCGTGGCGCGCCGTGGCAGCGCGCTCCATCCGGACTGTGGCAGTAACTTTATTTTTCCTCCTCTCAAAATAGAGATATCGTCGAAAATTGACAGTGACAAGAGGGCTCAGGGGCTACAACGCACTCAACACCCGTGTTAAATTCATCATCGGTGCCCCGGGTAGTGGCCATTAGAGGAGGGTGACCCGCTTGACTGACATTTAAGGTAAACTGTTTAATTTCGTCGACTTATTACATTATCGCTGCCAATGCGGCGCATCCCACCGCCCGAGAGGCACAAATGTCAAATGGGCAGAGACATATAGAGAAGTGAAAACCCCTTTAAACTTCATTTGCATTTTAATTTTGCTGCACAGCAGTTTGCAGACTCTTATTTACAGCACAGGTTGCATAGTTGGAGCAAAATACATAAAAAAAAAACTTTTCAAAAGTAAAACTTTTAACAGCTTTTATAATGTCTCATAATGTTAGAGTTGAGGTTAAAGTTGACTGTACAGGCTACTGTAGTCCATCTGATACGCAGACAAATCACAGTTTTACACCCACTACTCCCTCTATCCACAGATGGCTGCCTGGGGCCTTTTGCCCTCCACAAAGAATCATTTCTAAAACCCGCAAAGTTCGCCTATATGTTTCACCTTGCATGCAATTTCTGCCAGTATTAAACTTCATTAAAACGTGCGGGGAGATTTGGGCACAGAGATATCCGTTCCAGTTGTAACAGCTTGCGTCGTGATTAAACGCGGAAGAGAAATGGCCCCATGATTGATTTTGACGCTAATTATAACCGACTAGGAAAAATACATTTTTGCAAATACAGCCCATAGGTCTGAAGTGGCACAGCGGACAGGAATGGCGAGAGAATATTACCTTCTCCAGCTCCAGAAGATGAAATCGTAAAACTTGAATGGCTTGAATCATCTGAAAAATTAAAATAACAATAAAAAATGAGCTGCTCACATCTCTTGATATTAAACAGGCACGTTTTTCTCAATACAAGTAACTGCAGACGAGGAAAATATTCATATGAATGGATTTTATATGGAACTGATATTAAACTTGGACGTTATTGCAATATGGAGAACAGGCACACAGTACAGCCTGGCGCTGCAATAAGCCTCAGAGTCAGAGATCTATTAGCCACCAACTAGTCGTGAGGAAAAACGTTGCTCTCACATCACATTCAAAGTACCAAACTGTACAAAGTGAGAGGCATGCAGAGAATAACTTTCCAGGCAGAGTTCAAAGGTTTGTGTCAGCTGTCTAACAGCGGCCCTTCATCTACAGATACAACCGGGGGCCATCATGGTATCAAACGGCCCCAAAAAGAGGAACATCACCTCCAATCCTGCTTTAACCTCTCAGCACCACATGGCTCTCTGACACTGTACTGTAAATACAGCCCGCTAATAAACATGCAAACAGCAGCTGGTGTGTTCAAATACACTCTGGGAAAATACAGCAAATGTAATATGTCATGTGAAAATATACATAAAGCATCTTACCAGATTATCCAACTCTGGATTTGATGAAAATAAAGGCTTTTCTGCCCGAATCTAAAAGCAAAAACATTTTCACAAAATATATGAATATTATAAAGTTATAAATAATATATAATATAGATTAATTGTAACATGCAAGTATTGGCATAATGGTGCATTAATTCCTACTTTACGCAAAGCATTAAACACACTATATAAAATAAAAACATTTTCAAACAACTTTATTTTCTCTCTGCAGATTTAACTCTGTGCTCCACACTTAATGCATGCAGGTGAGAAGCTCAACCAGCCCGAGCACGCACATTAAAAAAAAGTCAAACTTTCCTGACCTGTTTTGCAAACACTGCTATGTCTTCATTGAAAGATTCCGATGAACAGACGTCTCCTCCCGCCACCCCGGGCTCTCTGGGGGTGCAAGTCGCTAATTCACATTTCTCAAAAATCAGTGCAAGCAAGGGGAACAGGGGGTGCCTGGGAACACACACAATAGCAAATGTCACCAGAGAGAACAGCGCCGGGGTCAAGACTACTCCAGGCTAGATTTAGCCAGCCATGCTACTCTTCAACAACTCGCCCATGGGGACTGCTGCTGCAGCCCGTGCTATTATATTATGCAGAGGCTCGGAGAAAGGCTGCAAACAGCGGGCAGACTTCTGTGATTAAATCTAGGCGCGCCTAATAGCATAAAAGCTTTAGAGTCAGTCAAACAATTTCTTGCACAGGTCTCCGTTTGGATCCCAGGCGTGTGTGTGTGTGTGTGTGTGTGTGTTTGGCGAGAGCCTCTGAAGCTGCAGGCGACTAAATGTGCTCACGTTTGTTGATTATTTATTGTTAATGTCACCAGAGTAAATATGTGCACGCTGGTAATGTGGTGAAAGTTGTGTCAGTGTGGCGTAAGATGGAGAAGCTGTTCCTGGCAGTGTTTAGCCACCGTGAAGATATCATGCTTAGAATTTTTTAATTAACTCCTGTAAATTAATAAATGACATGCATATGTGGGATTTCCTTTAAACATGATATATTTTTTAATTTGCTGAAGCCTGGCACATTACACACAATTAATTAAAATGGCTACAAGAGAGAAGGTAATTATTTTACTCGTGATAAACGATGAAACTTTAAAAAAAAATTAAGCAAGTTAAATTCTACAAAAAATAATAGAAGTTATAATTAAAGTGGACTTTGTGTTATAATTATTCTTTAGAGTTAAAATATTTTTTCAGAGAATTTAATAGCAGGACAATCTTGAGATAAACTCCATGTGTAAACAATTTTTTTTCTCCTCTAGAATTTATTTAATTCTCTATGAGCAGAAAGGCGTGATAAACATGACTGACTTTAAAAGCTAAGATTCAGAAATGAACAGAAAATAAAAGGAGGGAAGCTGCAGCCTCTCTGTGTCCCAGCGTCTCTGCAGCAGTTTGGGCTCCAGTGTTTTGCTGAAACACTTCACCGAGGCGCACGGCCGTCCCGGGCATGGAGCCGGTGTTCTTCCTCCTACGGGACTGACTTTGCACCCGCTAACCCACCCCGACTGCCCCCTCCAGGCCTGGATGCACGCCTGCCCGCCAGAGTGCGAGTTTCCCCGCGGACCGGAGGCTTGCACCTACCCGTATATAGCGTCTTTATCTCTCTTGAGAGCGTCGTTAACAGAGGAGCCCATACTGGGAGGCATGGTGTTGGTGTGGGCGGTGTGCGGGTACTGGTGAGAGTGCAGCTGGGGCCCGTGGTTGAGGTGCACCGCCTGCATGGACCGGGCGCCGTGCGGGTCTCCGTACATAGTGGTCGGGATGCCCACCCCGTCCATCCCGTAGTGGGGCAAGTCTTCGTACTGCACACAACAAACACGCGGGTCCACAGTGAATACACATGCACAGGAATATGTCCAACTATGCTTAGAACTTTGCTGTAAAAACCACAGGTCAGGGATATATTATAAAAGTTATGTAAAGCAGGAGAAGAGACACTTAAAGTCTTGTTTTTCTTCCAAAAAAGTAAAGTAAAAATGTTCCAATAGTTTCTTTAATTTCCAAAACAAATCGACATGTTTCAACATTTTTCTTAATTCAAAGTGGTGTCCTGACCCCGTGCACTGAGCTGCCTTCCTCTGCTTTGCTTCAAATTACTGACACTTGTGACACATGCAAAGCAAGAGAAATAAATCCACCCCGGTGATTTATTTTTTAATCGTTTAAGAAAAGTCTGAAGTCCAAGTGACTTGTTAAGAAGGATTTACAGAGGGGGAAACTGCTGCAATTATTCTGAAGTGAAACTAGTTTTAGTTTTAACTTGTTCTCAGTGACCCTTGTAGCTCAAACAAATATGAATTATTCAATGTGTTGAAAAATAGTGGGAGCACAAAAAGGTAAAACTGCAGCAACATTATAATTATCATTAAGCAGGCAGTGCTTTGGTTTTAACACCACCAGTCTGGTTTCCTGTGTTTTCTCTGTTCACAACAACAAATGTCTTAAAAGCGTTAATTGCAGTGTTTTCTTATTTTAAAGGCTCATAATTGTGCAGCTTGTTATTACCCATCAAGCACACTGTGGTTAGTGCATGCAACTAACGCAAGCAAACGCGTGTTGTGCTTTCCAGTTGAAGTGGATATTCAAACTTTTTCATGCCTCAGTTTTGAGTTAAATACTGTAGCCTCGTCTTTACACTGTTGTTTGCTGGTTATTAAACACTCTGCTGGTGTGTTAAAAGCACAAATGTGGATCTAGGTCTCAAAGTAGACTAAATAAAAGCTTTATTCGAGGTTTGCTTCTTTAGCAGATTAGAAAAAGAGGCTTGAATTATTGATGTTGCTCTCCAGAAGTGACAAACAAGTGCCGGGGAAAGAGTAAAAAGCATTATCACTTTAAGCTGAGCATTTCGACCCTAAAGGCAAAGAGGTGCAAACCCCGGCGTGGTGCAGCTCCAGTGCCAAACTAAGCAGCTAAATGTGTCCAGTGTGTCCCTAACATCTCTGCTTTTACACTGTTTACTATCCGTGTGAAGATCCCAGCCGCTGTGTCCGAGGCAGTCCTGGAGGTTATGAATCAAAGCGTTTGTCATCACCTCATTGCTAAAAACTGCCTCCCTGGCATTATGCTAATATCGCATGTTTTAGCACATTTTGCGGCGCAAAGAGTGATGAAGCAGAACTGACTCTGAAATAAGGATTTTTAGTTTTGCTCACAAATGCTCCACTCGATGTAGAATCTTGACGGAACAGTGTGAGGAGAAATGTGGAGATTTGTTTTGCCTCTATGCCCTCCCCCATTTCGCTTCCAGTAACTGGCCTGTCATAACTAATCTAAAAAACATAGCCGATGTGAGATATGATCACGCTTCCAATGTCCCTCAGTGGGCCGGTTTGTGGAGCAAACGAGTGCGGCCGTGCGTAATACCGTGCCAGAAGACGCCAAAAATGAAATCGTGTCTCCATGTGTCAGGAAGACGACAGAAACTTTCGCCGCGAGTGTGTGTCCGTGCGGGTATGTGTGTCATTAAGCCACGTTACAGTGCAGGATTGCATTCAAGCACAGCAGACTTAGAGAAACTTTTTTAGGGGGGATTGCCCTACGTACCCGTTGCGCCATAACCCTCCTGACTCCCTGGTCGTCCTTTCAGTTTAGATAAATCCCCTCTGAGGCCAGGGTGGAGACGAAATGAAGAAAGAAAATCCAAATAAATGGGAAGATGTTTCAGCCAAAATCCCGTATGCTTCTTTTTCCACGGAACGGTGAAGCCAGCCCCCGCTTTCTGCGCAAGTTTAGCCCAGGCGCGGTGAATAGGTCCTCGGCTATCCTCGGGGCAGCGGCGCCAGGCTCCTTTTCCAAAACCAGGATGAAAATAAAATAGCCCCTCAAACAAAACTGGCGACTCTCATGGCTTTTTGCCACTCCGCCTGTCAGTCAAAACGCGAGGGCTTGTCAAAAGTACCGGATGAATGATGGTCCGACGCGCGTCTCCACGGGATCGGCACCACCTAAATGTTAATGGTCACAATCACAGTTAAAAAATGAAGCAGCTCTCCTCTCGTTTTCTTTGATCACTCTCGGCTCCCGGCTTGATTTTCTTATGCAAAAGCGTCTAGAGGAGATCAAGAGGAGGTGGGGTGATAATTCTGGCTTAGGCTTTCTTAAAGGAGCCACGATCGATGCTGTGCGTGTGTGCGTATATATGTGTGTGTATGTGTCTGTATGTGTGTGAATGCGTGTGTATGCGTGAGCCGCCTGCCCGTTTGTGTACAATGGATGTGTGTGTTGAGCTGAGGAGGAGCGGAGGATCTGGACCAGACTGCTGAAACCCGGAAGTAGTGGTGGCCATAACAGGTCGCGTCTTACACAACGCACCGGGCTGCAGCAAGTCGTGCGGAGAGGAGGGGGGGTGGGAGGACCCTGCGAGACCAGCCAGCCGCACCGCGAGCTGGAACAACACGGGGATAAACACCGAATATGCACCTATGACTCCGGCTTCATGTCTCATTCTCTGAAACTGACTTTAATCTGCAGCCACGAGCTGTTTAAACGTCTGTGTGTCGGGACTGACGCGTCCAGCATCCACTCCTCTGCTTGTAAACAGTTTGTTAACGGCTAATTGAGGCAGCTTTCACCTCTGGTGTGAGATAATGTCAGGTATGTTATCAAGTCTGAACTGCATGTTAAGTTTAGTCTAGATATAACTATATCATTGATTTCATATGCATTATAAATAAGCTCATTCTAATAGTTTTATAGTCAGCTAAAGCTTCTGGGAGGCTCTCAGCATCATGTCTGCATGGTATCCACAGTGCAGGCTGCAGCCAAACACTCAGTCCTGCAGGTTTTGGACCTTTTATAGCTCACTATGAACTTCTATACAGTATATTTGCCTCTCACAGTTGCATTAATGGGGATGCAAAGCCTATATACTGCTTGGGTAAGTGTCATCTCCATATTAAAGACACCATAAACACAACTTTAATCAAGTTATATGGAAGCACTGTTTATTTTGAAATTTAAAGAGTTGTTTTTCTGTGCAAAATCAGTGTAATTAGTCCACATTGTAAACATGTGCTGTCCTCTTCGTGCTGAATTTTGAAATAAGATATTAAAATGTTGCAGAAGCTCTCCAAAGCATCTCTTACGTCTGAGTAACAGTTCACATGTCGTCCGTCCCTCTCCCCCACAGCAGCGCTGAATGGGTCGCTCCAGTCTGCCCGGGCTGTCCAATGGCAGAGAGGCTCAGGGATGGGAGCCCCCTATTGGCTCCCCACATGATCGATCCGGGGCTGATTGATCGGTTTTAGGCCACATTTGCGAGGAGGCGCAAAACAAAACATCGTCCCGCGAATAGAAAAGACACACTTTGTGTTTTCTGACAACTTCTGCAGGCTGTACATTTACCAAAACACTGAATATTATGTATAAAGACCAAGACATCCCTCTCTTTCTCTTACACTCTCTGAGACACACACACACACGCACACGCACACTTTTCTCATCTCCAACTTCATTACTTTCTTCAAAACGTGCACTCACACTCTGACTAAACCTCTCAGAACCAAACAGACTCGACACCCAGATGAAGATGTTGTCAACTTTCTCCTCTCACTCAACTTCTGTCTCTTCTCTAATGAACCTTTCACTGGAGTTTCACGGTTTGCAGTGTGGAGGGAGGCTGTAAAAGTTTGGTCAAATATTGATGAGCTTTAATTTATGGAGGGGGAAACTTTGAATCTCGAGTAATTTCAAGAAAAGTAATGATATCACTGAGTGGTGTGTGGATGTAAATTAACAAAATAGTTTGAATTTACGAGGTTAACTCGTTATATTTCATTAGTCACTGGGAAATAAAGGGGTACAAATCTTATTTCATTTAGTCTATCAAAGTTTTTTTTAATTAAGAAGAGAATGTAACTGCATGAAAAGCTTTATTAAATATTTATGATATATTTCATGGCATATGATGTCATATAAAAAGGGGGAATTTAAATGGACAGGATGAGTTTTAATGAAAGACGCTGAAGGATTTCCAGAGTTTTGTGTGTTTTGTGGTTGTTTCCTCACATGATGATCACCGAGTAGAGCTTTACCCAACTTTTCATTTATTTCTCAGCCCATCACACGTGAACAGAGAGTGTGTAAAAGAGCCGCATTATCTCCTGATTATGCTCATAAGGTGTTGCTGGTCGGTGACAGCCTGTTTGAAGTTTTTTTTTTTCTCCTCCGTGCAGCGCGTCCAGTCATCGATCATCTGCCCCCGGTGCCAGAAATGGTGTCATAACATGATAATGCGGCTTCACACATTCGGCGGTGATTCCTGTGGTAAAACCCGAGCGGTGGGATCCGATGGGACAATTTTACAGGCATAAATTTACTATCAAAGCCTCCTGCAGTCCGGCCAGCGAGGCTCCGGGGCGCGGACAGCAGAGGATCCACGAAGCCGCGCAGGACGCACGGACTTTTACGCACAGAGATTCCGGATCAAATAATAAACTGGGTTGACTTGTGCGCGTCGAGTTTGTTAATTCAGTAATTAATTGGTGAGTAGAAGCTCTCCTTTTCTCATTCCGTTTTATTTTAACAGCATATTAAATCATTAGAAAGGTTATTACTGTCGCTGATATTTTCTCAAAGAGAAGTTATTTTTAAATAAAGGAGAAAACCGCTGTTTAAAATCACTTTCAGATAAATGTGTGTTTAGCGAAACGTAAACAGGATTATATAGCTCACTACACAACAAGGCACACTGCATTTTAGAGGGTCATTGAGAAAAAAGCAAAGCTAAATTACATGAAAGGAGACCACATCAGCGCCTGGCCACTGTAAAATAACTACAATGGCATTATAAAGCAATTAAGCTACTTCAATTAGCGTCTATAAAAGCAAAGTGGAGCTCCACTTTCTCTCCTGGAGTCGCTCTTTCGTGAGGGTCAGCGCGTTTTGGCATCCTGAAAGAGAGCAGGGGGGCAAATACCGTCATTTCTGTTTAATCCGCTTTGCGATGACGGTAATGCTCCGAGTCGTTTCAATAAAATCAGCAGGTATTACTTTCAAACGTTTCAAACGTCTGAATGGAAATTGACAGCATGTGTGACCGCCCGAAACAAATATAAGTGTTGTTAGACGGCCTGTGCGCCGTGACGCGCGCTCTTCGGAGACAAAGACAAGGTACAAGCCTTTATTGTTAGTTTATAAAACACGCATCATGCAGAAAGTCTCAGATGTGTATTCCATGTTGCAGATCACTATTTAAAATCTCCCCCAGTTATTTTTAGCTCAGACAGAGTTGAGATAAATAATGCAAATTTGAATTTAAATTTAAACACGTGCAGTTTTGAGTAAAGCAAATGGAAAGTTAAAACTCCAGGTCAGAGATTCAGTGTCCGAGCCTTTGTGTCTTTACTCGTCTGCGGCTGTTTGAAGACACGAGGAGCAACTGGCAGCCCGAGGAGTCAAACTGAGGTCAAACTTTTTGCAGCCCCGCAGCTCCGCGCCCAAAAACGTGTTGGGATCTGCAAAGAAAGGCCAACGAGCCCCTCTGCTTTGTGTCACTGCTGCAGCACACAGGCAGGCAGGCAGGCAGAGAGACCTGCTGCAAAGTTTTCACAGCTCATCTAATTATATGAAACTACTAGTACATTATCGCCTGTCAGAACATACAGCCGGATTCATTAAGGGTGCATTTAGGCGCTGTGAGCTCCGGGGTGAAATTATTCAGTCAGAAAAAAGACGCTCGGCTTTGTAGGAGCAAATGATTTCTCTTACTTTGGAGATTTATTTTAAAAGTTAGTGTTATGAGCTATAAGGTAACATCCACGAGGAAGACATGTATTATACTCCAATCTGATCCTCCATCATCATTTACAAACTGTCATTAAGTGGAGTAAACGTTGAAATTATTGTTTGTCTCATGTTATTGTAAAAAGATGTTGATGAAAGCTGATGATTTTTTAAAACAATGGTTCTAATATCTCCAGAGTGTAATTACATGATGTCAAAAAACATCTTTGTAAATACTCTGGCTTGTGTTTATTGATGTAAAACCATAGCTTTGGTACATTAGCAATTTAGTTTTTATTGCAGTATTTATTTTGACCCGTGAAATCAGTTACATTTTTTATCAAGAGGAACGTTTTCCTCCGGGAGTTTTCTCCTCTCTGTTGGATCCTGCAGTTTGGCCCAAACGTTAATCTGAGCTGCTCTCGCCTCTCACACACATTAATGCTTAATCATTTGCGCCTTCTACCGGAGCTGTTGGAAATTACACGAGGTGCAGAGAGCCAGAGGAAGAGTCTCAGCTCAGGTAATTGAGATAAAAATCTTGCAAAATAAATCCACTGTTAAACTTTGTGTGTGTGTGTGTGTGTGTGTGTGTGTGTGTGTGTGTGTGTGTGTGTAAGACTGTGAGCATTAGTATCTCCTTCAGCATGCTGCACTAAATACAGAGTATTCTGTTTGAATATATATGAAAAAAATTTATATTTCTCATGATCTTTGTTCATGTAAATATCTTAACATGCTAATAAAATATATAATGGTGCTTGGTTGTCTTTTGGTGTGTTGACTGTTATTGCAAACGCCCAGAAAGTCAAAAAAATTCAACTTTCAACTGTTGTTATTGCATGAAACGTGAGATCTGTATCGCTGCGTTCACCGTGACAGTGACAGAATTAAGATTTTAGTAAGACTTGTGAGCTCCAAAAATAAATTCCAATAAAGTCATAAACTTAAAAGATGGAAGCCTTAAGGCAGGGGTGCCAAACATACGGCCTGGGGGCCAGAGCCGGCCCACTGAAGGGTCCAGTCAGGCCCACTGGATGACTATGCACACCTAATAGTGAAAGCTAAGAGATGCCAGGTTTTAGAAGCAAGTTACACAGTGAGTAACTTTTGACGTGCAAAAAGCAATGCATACTTATTGTGGTCATATTTTAAAGATATGGAACATACTGCAAAAGAATCTGTATTAAACCACTATCTTAAAACAATATGGGTGGAACCCTATCACTGAGACACTGCCAAAGCTTTTGACTTGGAAGTGGTTTGTAAGGCAGGAGACGACTTAACTTGCTTCCTCAATAGTTTTCACTTTAGTTCGATGCGGTGATGTCAGGGTGGAAATGTATAGAAAAATGCACATGTGATGACAGTGAGGAGTCGCCTCAATGTGGAAATTCTGAGACACATTGTTGAAATTGCATTTATTCTTTTTAAAGAAATCTGAGGCTGTTTGCCATCTGTCATGTAAATGGATGGGCATTTTTAAAATGTACTTAATTAAACTTTTAAAAAAAAGGGAAAATTTGGAGGCGTTTGTTATCTATAG